CCCCAAAACCCCAAAACCCCCTCAATCCAAAATTTAAGGGTAATTAATAGAACATTTTTCATCTTTAAAATTAAATAAACTTCATATTTAATAAAAAAGTTTTGATTTATAAAGAGCAATAACTTTTTTAAATATCATAGTAAAAATTAGTCTGATAATAATTAGATTCGGCTGATATGATCAAATTCAATTATGGCAATAGCGATTTCAATCTCATCTTTAATCCACAAGCAAATGCGAAATATCATGTGATTGGTGTTTATGCAGAGTCATCTTAGGACGGTGATTGAGATAAAGAGGAGATTCTAATTTCCACATCACTTTTGTTAAATCTTTTTTATTAAGCTATGCTTGAATTAACCCAAGAAAGCTTTCTGTATTTATTGTTTCTAATGCTATTATCCTAGTAGTCTGTTATTTCTCCGATTTAGTCTTTAATCTCCTCATTTTCCCAATCTGACAACTGCATTTCTTATTCTTTACTAAATGAACTGGGATGTTAATCCCTTAATTCTACCAGGTTTAGCTTGGTATTTATCTAAGTAATTTCATTCTGGAGTATCTAATCTTCATTGGAGCTTGATGATGAAGAGGAACTTTCTTCAATTTAAACTTCCTAAGATTTCTCAGCAACCCAAGAAAAATCTGTCATGAATGAACTACCAGTGAGGTTCCTAGGTTTATTCGTTGTCTTTACTCTCTTTAGAATGTTATCAAAGGTTATTTGATTTCTATTAATTCTATCATCACGGAATCTTGCTCTTTCTAAAGAATACTTTTCTAAATTTCTCATGTTTTCTTAAATAGTTTTGAAAGATTATAAAGTAATTTCATTTATTCGTTTGAGATCTTTCATCATGTGATCGCTATTCCTCATTTAGTTTACAAAAAATTTATAGTCATGAGGTAGACTATGAACATCCTTTTCATCGTCACTAATATAATCATCACTGCTCAAGCAGTTAGTATCTAAAAAATCTAATGAAAGATTCGATGATAAATCTGACTATTTCATTGAATCTTTATTTTGTAGCTATTTTCATTCATTTTATTTATCCTTTTTATACTTGATTTCCATGATTATGTGTTTAATTAAATGCTCATTAGCTCCTTTGCATCTAATTTAAAGCAGATGGGAAACTTTCATTTTAAATTTCTAACTCATTGCAAATGAAACTCTCGCAAATAAAGTTTGATTTTTAGGAGAACTTTCGTAATCTATTTTGTTTAATTTTTAGGTCTATAGAGATAAATTTCTTAAGAATTTCCTTCTTCTTAATGAATATTAAGTGACATAACTAAAAGCATCATAGTCTTAAGAAAGTAGTTAGAGGAATCTTTTGGTCTTTATTCTAAATAAATGATTAGTAGATTTATGAACAGCTCAATACGTAAATTGTGATTTAAGTTCGAGAATAATCTAAAAATCACCAAAATAACCTCCAGGAACATAATTAATAAGAAAATTGTTAAACTTGTCAAATACTCCAACATGTCCATGATTGATAAAATAAATACACTCAAACTTTTGTCCTTGTTTTAAAATGGTTTAGTTCGAGAAAAATATATTTAACTCCATGTTTGAAAGACAACCAGATATAAAATCATCTGAGGCTTTGTATTTAAGCTCAAAGTCCTCAAAGAAATATATAAATTTTTTGTATTGTTTATCAAAAAGCTCAATGATGAGTTTTTTCTAAAGTCTTGGACTTAAAATTCTGAAGTACTTGTCCTTCAAAATGTTCTTATGATTGTTTTTAAAACTTTCTTTAATGTACTAACTGCAAAGCTTTATATCTTTATTTTTGATTGGCTTAGCTCCTTTAATTTTAGAGAACTTTATGAGCATAATTTCTGCGTTCTCCTATAATTCATTCTAGATTTTGTAGGTATCTATTTCATTTTTAGAAAGCAGGACTCTTCTCATTCTTTCCAGAATATAAGAGAACAATAGCTGGCCTAAGGAAATGATGACCATTGCAAAAATGTACTCATTTCTTCTATAGGCACTAATGTCTCCAAATCCAATCGTCGTAAATGATTACACAACGCAATAAAATGATCTGATATAAACCTAAGCATACTAATTGAGGTCTAAATATAAGATGTAGTATCCAATCCAGCCATCAATAAAATAAGTGTCACCATCTGAATCTGGTCCTTTTTGATAAATAAATTATTCATCCTGATGTCCTATATTCTCGTCATCATATCCCATATAAAACCAAACACAAGCGCATAGATGAAATAGCAGGAAATACAAAAATATAAGTTAGATCATCTTGATAACTTTATGCACGTACTACTTGTGTCTTTGATTAATTTTGAAATTAAGTACAAAGGCTTCAAGAAATTCAAAGAATTTGAATAATCTTTTGACTCTAATAAATCTTATAATCTTCACTGGATAAATGTAGATATTTTATTCCCAAACTAATAATGAAGGCAATGAAGAGGCAATGTCTATAAAAAAATATGTTTTGAGATAAAGTTTCGCTGTATCTTTAAGGGTTGTCAAAATAATAACATCTTTTCTCGCCTCAGTTACAAAATTAAAGACAATGTCGAACAAAATAACCATATCAATAAATATCTCGAAACTTCTGAGGGAATTGTAAGAAAGAAAATGAGTAGCTAGATTAAGGGGAGTTAACCAGAAGGATATGCAAAAAATGCAGGCCATAATGAACTCCCAAAATACTCTGTAGCTTGAATCATATTTAATCCAGCATTTATATCTATTCAAAAGAGCTGACTCTTCAAACTCTTAGCCAGTTTCCCAGAGTTTTTGCTTCCTATCAGAGATACCTGTTAAAATTTTCCTTTAAGACCACATTGTTTATTCTTAGAGAGTTCTCACGAAAATTCCAGATAAAACAAAAGCTCTTACTTTTCTCCAAAGATAATCTTATCTTTTTTACTTTTCAATAAAGATGTTGTTTATAACCTTCATTGCTCTTAATAATCTTTCAGATTTCCTTCTTTCCATTAAATCTCTCTTTTAATTTTGTGATTTATTAGCTAAACACAATTTTTCAAAGCATTTATAGGGCCAAGAAGTTTTCTTAGTCATTTTATCTATAGAGTCTGAAAGCTTTTGATTCAATTTTCTTTACCTTCTAGTATTAAGTGGCCTGATTTGTTCTTTTTTGTTTTTATCTGTATTTATTTAAATATTAGGTAAATCTTAAGCTTCTTAGTAACTTTGATCTTTAAGCATTCTATTCGACTGTACCTACTCTTAGAAATCAATATTTTCTTCAGATAAGCAGTCTTCATTATAAGATTCAGGAAAATCATGAGTCCTATCATTCTATTAATTTATTGAAGTGTCGTTACGTCTTAATCATAAATACTCTTTTACAGCTTCCATTTTATAAGGCATTATCTCTTTATTATCTATTGACCCTTTGATTTACATAAAATTAACTTTTTTTGAACTTGTCTTTTTCTTTGTTTATTTATTGTTTGGATATTAGGATATGGATTACCCTGTAATGAGTTACTAGACTGTTTTTTGAGTTGTAATTTATCTTTCATAAAAACTCTGCTTTGTCAAATCGTAGTTATCCTCATTTGGAATCAAATAGCTCTAGTTCAATAGAAAATTATTGCTTTCTTCCTAATCATATTCAAATGATGCGGGTTCCTATGCTATTATTTAGATTTAGTTTTTTAAAAAGGCTCAGTTCTTTCTTTATCATTCTTTACCCACTTATTAGCGATTCAAAATTTAGTTTTCCTAATTTTGGAATTCTTAGCTTTATTAGAGTTTACTGATTGACTTAAATAATTTTGTTTTCTTAGAGGGTAAATTATAAGCGAATATTTCATGATTGCTGCTCTTTAGGCCTGAAGAAACTTCATTGTAATCATAACTTGGGTCATATTCTTAAAATGGCTGAGAATTTTATGATTTCTGCATTACAAATATTTTGATATAATAATTAAAAGCTTTACTATATCAATTTACTTACAGATATGAAATTGCAACTCCCGGGGTTTTGGGGTTTTGGGGAGATCGGAAGAGCGTCGTGTAGGG